ATCTTCTACACTGATTTTGCTAGGTATTCACTGGGTTAAGCTACTCTTGACCATTTGCAGTGTCTTCTGATGAACTGTCCTGTGGGGTTATCTTGGGTTTTTTTTCCTTACATTCAGTATCCATCCAAACCCTGATTTTGAGGCTCTGCTTTGTGAGTCTTAATTATATTTTAATTCTCAAAGCCTAGTGCATGGAACTTATGCTGAATTAAACTTCATATAAAAACAGCAGCGCTCCTTTACCCCAAATCTAACTTTCTCTTGGTCTGCAAGTGAAGTTTTAATGCCTTATGCAGTAAGTGCTGTGATATTTTCTGTGAGGAGGTTTAGGGATTTTCTACTCTGTTCTTATCTGTTGATTGGCTTTGTTTTTTCCTGAGATACAGTGCAAAGCAGGTGTTTTGTTTTAGTGTTTTGGTTTGTTCCCCCCCCAAAGTTTTGGGCAGAGTGACTCCGAGGGGGGCGCTGAATTTTTAGTATACTGTATTATTATCTTCCTTATTATCATTTTATTTGTTCTCTAGAAAATGTCTTCTTGTAGTGTCAGGTTGTCTTGAATAGATTAACTTTTTATCCTCTCTGATCCTCTTAATTATTAGGAGAGCCAGAGTAAATTAGGATTGATTTAAGGAACAAAAAAAAAGGCAAGGATGCCAAGAAGATACTTAACTAAATATAGAATAGCCATATTTGCCTCCTTCCGCCTACCTGCCGGAGAGCCTCATCACAGTCATTAAAATGACCGTCACATTGTCATCACTGAATGCCTTGGGGTAATTGTATTTTCCTCTGTTTCTGAGATGATTGCTCAAAGGTATGAGTGCAGGAAAGTTGCTGTAGCTGTTTGTAGGAGATGACTGGATGGAAGATATATCGTAGATGTAAGGGTTTGAAAGTGGGTTTTGACTTGCTGGAGGAATAGGTACAAACAAGGCAGCAGCAATCTGTATCAGGAAATGTAGAAAAAAGAAGAAACACTAGTGCTTACATAAAAAAATCCTATCTGAGCAAATTTTGAAGGAAGAATAGTCTTGTGGTAAACAAGTGTATTCTTTACGTCTAAAGAGAAGTGCATGTGCTTGTGCACAAACAGGCTCAGAGCACAAGTGATCTTGCAGAACAATCCCCAGGCTGAGAAAGCCGGGTCGGCCGCAGGCTTCCTGTGCAGCTGCGAGCAAGGGGCTTGTGCTCCTGGGCCGGTGCGATGGGAACGTGGCTTGGGTTTAATGAAGTCTTTTTCAGCATTGGGGTGATGGGATGATGGGAACAAAGCCTTGATTCCCTGCTCCGAGTTCGTCATGGTGGTTTGGAAACATAAACCTGTGGGAAGACAAAACCTTATTTGTCTGCCAGGGAGCTGAGGTGCTCTGTAGTGAGGTACGGCAGCTGCGCCGTCCGCTTGCTGTGCGGGGCCTCCTCGGGATCTCTGCAGAAGTTTCCATTTTGTGTGCTAAGGCTTTGCTGTCTGTTTGTGCCACTTACCTAAAATTAGGGAAGACGGCATCAGAACGGTTACTGCTGGTTTTCACAGTGATGTCACCACTCCGCATCCTCTCTGGTCTCACTCGTCCTGGCCGAACTGCTGATGTTCAACAGGCCTGTACCAAAACTTCGCGCTCTCTTCTGCCTCAAACGAGTTAAAATTTATATTCACGCTGAAATCCATTATGTTTACTCTCTGAACCTTTCTTCCTCACTTCTGTTCCCTGTTGTTCATTTCTGGTAGAGCTGTCTTCTCCTGCTGTCTTGTGGATCAAAAAATTTTTTGAAAAGTGCAGATGTAGTATTTGAAGGCTATGGTTAAAATAACCGGTAGAGAACTAGTCTCTTCTTGATAAAAGTACGTTGTTTTTCCATCTGTTTGATTTTCTGCACATTCAGTCCCTAACTGGCATGTCTTTTTTTGTCAGGAGAGGAAAGCCCTGTAGATCAGTAAGGTTTTTTTGTTGATTTTTCAGTAACAATATCACTTTGTTGGTTTTTGCCTTTACAGTCATTTATTTTTAAAATTAAAAAAAAATGCTAAATAAAATAACTTTCAAAAACCTGACTCCTGAACAAACTAGTGATCAAAACATTAAAGAATGCCATATAGCTTCTACCAGTCTTGATGCTGTTATGCTTCCGAAGAGTATATTGTATGTTGTTAATAATATTCAATGAAACACTCTCAGGGCAGGAAAATATTTACTGAAATTATTATAAAATATACTTCTCATAGCATTCTTACCCATCGTGTTCTGGCCAGAATACTAGGACTACATCTTTGGAATTCATCCTTGCACACCACGGGTTAGAAGAAGATAGGTGCTGGGGCAGATGTATGTTACAGAGGGAGGGAAGAAGATGCAGCAACTGAATATACCCATTATTCATACAGTGTGCAAAACTGAAGTCCCATTCCAATGGAAAAGGGAGACTGAATTAAAAAAAAAAGACTGAATTAAATAAGACAGAATGCTAATTGCTCTAAAAGCCTTCGGTATAATTTATATGCAATCAAAGGGTTTAGAGCTCATCTATAGGGATAAGGGATATGGCTGTGTTGTTTAAATCACGACAGTTTCAATTCATACTTGCAAAGAAGTTGTCCCAGTGTTTAAAATGCAAGTTCTGTCTTGTCATGTCGTGGGGACAGGGGAGGAAATTTATTCTTCAAAATTAAATGCTGCAGAGCTCTGATACAGCTCGTAAGCAAGCTGCTGTAAATAGATGAGTATGTACTGGTTTTGGTAGGATGCAGGAACAACACTGAAACCTCAGTTCCGTCCCCTTGACATGAGTGGGGCCCTGCACACTTTTGAGACTTTGTTGTCAAAGCAAGGTGAGGCAGAAAGAAAACAGAAGCACAAATGATGACTGATCTAATGTGCTTGTTAGAAGGGCTTGTTTGATGGATAGGGAAGCCAAAAAAGAGCAAATAGATGAGCAAAAAAGCCCACAGTCCTTCTGGCTGGCAGGTGGAAGTGGTTGGCTGAACCAAGAACTGCAGGAGCTAACTAGACAGCTGCTGGGTTTTGGTGCGTGTGACTTCCGATGGTAGCAGGTAAAAGCAAGACGATGTGTTTTCACATTTGACTGTTCTAACAACTTAATTAGGATTTTTTCTAATCTTCTGGCACTTGAAATACTTTTGGTTTTTAATCAAATTGTCTCTGAAAAAAATTGAGAAAAAAGCAGTCTGTGTGCATGTGCTGGCATTGTTTTGATTGGTTTCTGACCTTGAATACACGAATGTTTAAGGTTCCAAGAATTTGTGCAGCCTTTTCTCCCTAAGTGAAAACAGAGATCCTCATAGATAACATCCCATAGAAATGACATCTAAAACTGAAAAACACACACAAACCTCATGAGTGCTTGGGATTTTAATGCTGGTATTTTTAGATTTGTCTATCACTGAACTGTGCAACGTTCAGATTATTTTAATGGACTGTTGTTTTTAGAAGTATCCGTGGCTTGTTACGTGTGTGTTGGATCGGTAGGAAACAATTTAATTGGGAATGTTAGAATCTCTCTCCTGTTGTTAGCCTTGCATTGGTTTGCAAATCCATTCTCTGTATTTAAATAAATTCTGAATTATAATTAAGCAGTTTAAAGGCACTGGATATGTCAATGCGTGACTAATTTTAAGGGGATGATACTGTGCTTTCAGTTGAGTTTTGAAAGACTGCAGTTTCATTGGAACTCATCTAGTGGGCATAAAGTGCCAACCTACAAAAAATGCTTCAGTTTCCTAGAGGACATAGTCTCCATAAATTGAGTGCTCTTAGAGTAATTCATGTTCTTCTGGTATAAAATGCTCTTTTCAAATATTGGTCCTGTAAAAGGTTCCTGTGTGATAGTAACACTAAGCCAAACAGCAACGGGATGACAAAAGCAAAATATATCAAATGTTCGACTTTGTAATAATGAACATGAGGTAATCTTCCTAGGTTAGTTTTACAGATATTAATATAGCAAAAGTAGTTGCCTAATACAATGATTCTGAGCTGGTGTTTTCTGTATTCCTCGAAAGGAAAGCTTCTGTAAGCTAGTCTGGTTTATCAGACTGGTTTGTTGTTTTTCAGTGTGAAAGCTGGTTGGACAAATCAAAGTCTAAGTAGTGGTGAATTTATTTGTAAGTGTTGCTTGTCAGTTTTGCAGTTGTTTACATCTGGAAAGGAAAAATGTGGGCGCCTGCAGTACAGTTGCCTCCCAATCCACTGTTCTTCAGTTTCAGAATTTTACTTGAAGAGATCATATTAGGGCCTGTCTTTGGCCCTTATTTTTTGTGTTTCTTTGCTCCCAGGTTTCTGATGCCTCTGAGGTTGTTACCCTAATTTTGAGGGTCCCTTGTTTTAATCTTAATGCCCCATTCTTATTCCCAATTCTCTTCCCATTCTCTGAGCTCAAGCTTCACATCAATTTCTGCTGTGGTTGTGGAGTGCTTAGAAAATCACATTTCAAGAGGAGATTGAACCTTTTGAAGACTGTCATGAGGCCTTGGTTAATAATTTGTTTTGATAATTTAAAAAACCTGAATGTGGCTGCATTATTGAATTACAAAGTCACGGCTATCCTTTGGTATAGTAGGGAATAGTGGAAATAAAGCAGTTAGCCTTGGGGGAGAAAAGATAACTTGAAAGAAAAGACTTGCAAATGCTAGCACTTAATTGCAACAGTAACTTTCACTATATAAATTATTCTCTGTCCTAAACATGAGAGATGTTTTATTGCACAGTATTAAAGCTGCTGTTGGGAGAACTTCACAGAACTGGTCATAAAACAAATTTCTGTTGATGCTACCATGTACCACTAGTCTAGACAAATGGGCCTCCCACCCTGATACTGCATTTATTGCTCAGAAGCATCACTTATAGAAAAGAAGCTGTCTTTGTCCTTGCTGACTGTATTGCAGGTCTGTTCCCGTGTGGTACCTTAACCATGTTATGTTTTCTTTGTTCGCAGAGTAGTCCTAGTTCCTTGCTAGTGCACCAGATATTGGATGCTTGTGGTAAACCATGGCAGCTGATGATAAGGTTGCCATTTTAACCGATGATGAAGAAGAACAGAAGAGAAAGTATGTGCTTGCTGATCCTTTCAATGGCATTTCCAAGGATCAAGACTTGTCACCTCATAATGAATCCCCTTCAACGGAGGCAACCACTGTCCCAGATGAAGAGCTAGATTGGTTAGAAAAGCACTGCGTCAAAATTAACAATGATCTTCTGATCTCAAAGGTCTTCTATTTTTTCTTCTATTCTGCATATGGCTCTCTCTACCCCTTGCTGCCTGTGTATTACAAGCAGCTGGGTATGTCACCCAGTCAGAGCGGACTTCTGGTGGGTATCAGGTACTTTATTGAATTTTGCAGTGCTCCCTTCTGGGGAGTGGTGGCAGATCGCTTCAAGAAAGGGAAGATTGTCCTCCTCTTTTCGCTTTTATGCTGGGTTTTATTTAACCTAGGGATTGGATTTGTTAGACCAGCCACCTTAAGATGCGTACCAAAGGGCCTTCCCCCAGCACACCCCACCAATGCAAGCAGCCTTTTAACAACAGTTTCACAAAACGCCTCAATGTCTTCTCTGCTAACCACAGCAAGTACTGCATCCCCAAAAGTTCGTGGGAAGAGAGACGCGCTCACTTTCAGTCCGGTCACTTTGGAGCCAACAGGGACGGCTAATCCTGAAATAACATTCCTGTTACCTACACAGAGCAATGATACAGAGTTTGTCTTGGAGAACAGTACCCAGTCTGTTTTGAAAAACACCACCACTGTCCCAGTCTCACTAGGGAATGCGACCCCCAGTACCACCCCAGCCGCCATCACCACAAAGCCGATGCCTTCCGACCAAGCTGTGCTTGTTTATGATCAACAAGAAGTGGAAGCCATCTTTCTTCTCATTCTGCTGGTTGTCATAATAGGAGAGTTTTTTAGTGCTTCCTCTGTTACTATTGTGGACACCGTAACTCTGCAGTACCTCGGCAAACACAGGGACCGGTATGGATTGCAGCGTATGTGGGGCTCTCTGGGCTGGGGGCTGGCCATGCTCTCTGTGGGAATTGGCATTGACTATACCCATACAGAAGTTGGCGTTGAAGGTCAAGGATGTAAAGCTCCTGAGTACAAGAACTACAGGATAGTCTTCATCGTTTTTGGGGTTCTGATGACAATGGCATTGATTGTGGCCACCCAGTTTCGATTCCATTATGCGCACTTCAAGCAAGATGAGAATAAGAGAAAAGAAGTAGAAATCTCACAGGTGGACAGAAATGCCTCCAATGAATCCTCCAATAACACTCCCACCAGTACGAGCCAGTCGCAGTCTTTCAGTTTTTGGGACCTAATAAAACTGCTGTGTAGTATCCAGTACGGCTCAGTGCTCTTCGTGGCGTGGTTCATGGGGTTTGGATATGGCTTTGTGTTTACCTTTCTTTACTGGCACTTGGAAGACTTGAATGGCACCACCACTCTCTTTGGAGTTTGTTCTGTGCTCAGTCACGTGTCTGAGCTGACTGCCTACTTCTTCAGCCACAAACTGATTGAATTGGTTGGTCATATCAGGTAAGATGTTAGCAATCATTAAGGAGCTGCACAAAAAATGTTGTATTTTAGGCTTAGCCTTGTGTTACAAAGTGAAATTCAAGCTAATCCTTTTATTTCAAAATTCGGTGTCCTGCTCAGTTAACTGCCTGATGGAATTTTTTATTATTATTTTAGGAGTTGAAAATGCTCTGAAATATTTCCTTTGCATTTGATTTAAATGTTAGTACTTGCTGTATGCCTGGCACCATAACCTTTTGCAGACAGTTCCAGAAGACATCTTGTTTCACTGACGCAAAGCCCAGTTAGAGATCTTTACAAACCGCCACCCACTGAAGGGTTGGTTGTTTTGACATGTAAATACCATTAATTTTACAATTTTTTTTTCCTGTGAGTAGCAGCGTTCTGGAAACCTCCAGAAACCTCCTGCTTTAGCCTGCTTCTCCTTGCGGGGCAGCTCTTTGCCCCCACAGTAGCCTGGGAAGGTGTCACTTGCACACTGAGAGGGGAGGAGGATGAGAGGAAGACGAGAGGCGAGCTCCTCCTGTGCACATGCCCTTGTAATCAGACTCTGGGTGTTGGCAGAATGGGGTTGCAGCCTGGTGGTGTCGCTTACCACTTGGGTTCATTGCTCTCTGCCTTTGGTGTGTGTTAGCTCCTGACGTGAGGTGGCTGTGCAGGGCTTCTCCCCTAGTTTTTGCCTTGTGTAAGTCAAACCGACTGCTTACAGTATGTTAGTGAACATTGTTTTCCACTAAATTCACAGTTGACTTATTTTCTGCATATTCCAAAACCCTTTGCTATTCCTTAAAAAAAGCTCCGGGGATGAAAGAGAGGGGGATGTCTGAGGTAATGAAGTTGCAAAGGGGTTTGGTTTTTTTTCGGTTTACTCAGGTACTCTGTGCATCTGAGCACAGAGCTCTGTGTGCTGTTTTCATCGTGTCCTTTCCAAATGCCCTGTTTGTAATCATACAGTCATTCAGATGTAAGGATTTTTTAAGCTGACTGTAGTGTTCTTTTTGTGCATTCTGTGCTGTGGTTTTGCTCTTAGCTCTTTTGTTTTGCTTTTATTGGGATGGTTTTTTTATTCATTTGACCTGCTAAAATTGTTTGAGATGCTTAGCATGGTAATTTGAGAGGTTACTTAAAAGATTTTTTTTGTCTTCTTCCTTTAAACTGAAGAGGATCTCTTTACTTTGAGTCACGCTTTCAGTCTCTGAATCTGACAATAATTAGCATGAGAAAATATGACACCTTGCATGCAGAGCCTGGAGGAAGGATACGATGAGGGAGGAGTGGTGAGAACAGATCGCAGTCTTGATGGCTAAAGATAGCCTGGGTATGCTTTTTCAGTGCATATTGTTGTAGTACAAAATTCAGGCTTAGACTTCAACTGGAGAAAGAACAAAAACCAAAAAAGTGGTAGGCTTGTGAATAAGATGAAGTAGATGGGGATAGGAGCATTGGCCAGTAAAAGGAAACATGATGTATAGGATTAACTCCTTTTTTTTTTCTTTGCACTGCTAAGCCTATGAAGCCAAGATTGGATCAAGATTAAATTGTTTAAACTCTAGCTCCTGTTTGTAATGGAACAACATTCTTTATACCTACACCCGGGAAATGTGCATTAGTCATATTTTAATGTTATTTAATGCTTACTTGTATTTAGTCATCACAGTTTAGGAGATGTCACCTGGTTGCCTTTCTTCTTGTACTTTTTGAGCTTTGTCTAATGCATGGTTTGTTCAAGAGGAGGCAGCTTTTTCCTTTTTTTATGTTTTCTGAAAAGAGGAATGCATGAGGAGTTCATAGCTCATTTTCTTTGATAGTTCTGTATATGCTGCCTTATAGTACAGATATAGTACAGATTCATACTCCCATTAATAAGAACCAGGAGCCTCCAATTATATATGCTTCTTGGAACCGTTTTAGCTCAGAAGCATTTGTGATCAGTATTTTTAATATTCATGCATATATACATTTGATAGCTCAAAATTTCATGTTTACCATTTTGGCATAAAAGCAGTTATAAGTTTTTGGGGATTCTGGTGTAAGGTCTTGTACAAAGTAAGATAGAAGTACCTCTTAATCCACAGCTAGCTGTGAATATTTCACAGGGTATTTCATAGTTAGAGGGAAGGTGACTTGACATCTCTTTTTGGTAAGATCACTTCAGTGCTGATGTTGTCTCTGCTGCCATTGACTTCTAACGCTTAAAAAAAATATTAAAGGCTTTTTGCACTGTGGATTCTGGATTGTCAGACTCCTACATGTAGGCAGTCTTCTTGCAGTATTTATTTGAACATTATAATTCAGTCTTTCCTTCCTGTCCTAATTCTCTGAAGACGTGCATGAGTACCAGAATTGAATGCACTGTCACAGTAGCAGGAAAAAAATCTACTGACTGTCCTTTGTAAAACTACAGGAAAACAGGCTTTGCAGCCTTGTCAGGTAGAAGCTGTTTTCCTTTTCTCGCCTTGTAAAACTTTCTGTTTCTACCATTGTATGTGTTGGCATGTAAGATCCTTACAACATTTTGAAACCTATTCTGTTTTCACAGTTTTGTTTTTTTAACTAATAGGCGAATTATTGTCCAAGCATTTTAAGCATGACCACGCTGATTAAAATGCCTGATTTCTGCCTTTAGCTTTACTGTTCATACACATGTGCACTGCATGTGTGCATATGTTATAAATGCTGCTGGTGTTTCTGACGTTGTATATTAGCAGGTCGGTAGATGAGTCTGGAGCGATGACAGTGATCAGTTCAGCTAGAAAGCTGCTCTGTGATTGTGCACATTAATGAGGGGAGGGAATATTGCAGCTGTTAAAAGGGGGGGTTTTTTACCTTGCCTCCTTCAGCTGCCTTCTGAGAGATGACAGAGTAGATTTGCATTGAAAAGTAAACTAAAGAGTTAAAAAGAAATAAGTCATCAGGAAGGGTGGTGAAGGCACAAGTCCTTTGAGAGGATACAGTGATGGGAAAGTGTACAAAACCAGCTATCGACTCTTAAGACATCATAGTTGAATGGTGTCCTCTGTAGAAGCTCATAACTGCCATGGAGTTTGGGAAGATGATGTTAAACTCTGGAAAAAACCTCCTCCTCCTTGCGGTTAAGGTTAAATGTGTTTTTCTGACCACAATTCCAGCATGTGAGTTTTTATAGGAAGCAGAGACTGGTAGTCATGGCTGTAAACAGCGCAGTCTCCCTAACACAAACACAGATCCAGCACTTTAAATGTTTAACCTGTAAACTGAATATGGTGTTTCTGTGGATACTGCATGCAGGGTTCATTAAGGACATCTGTTCATGTTCTCCGTTTAGGTCTGATAAAGAGCCTAAGTGATTATTATAAATACATTTTTGAAAGACTCTGTAAAGACACAAAAATTCTCTTGTGACATACCCCTCCAAAGCCCTAAGTATAGAAATCTTCATAAACTGTAATTTACCTATAACTCTGTAC